ATTTGCCTTTATGCTCAGACTCGCTAGTGTCTTAATTTGGACCGAGACTGTGCTTTTGAAGGCCACTGCATGGGGTTGTTGTGGCCCAAGTGCACAAACCAGCACTTGGCATTGTTGAACCTCATTCTGTTGGCCTATCAATACCATGCAAAGGTGTTTTGGGTGTTTTTTTCCCTTTTTCTGTTTGGTTTGTTTGTTGTTCCTCCCTCCCTCTCCCACCCCGGCCCCACGGAACAAAACACCATTAGATTATGTACTCACACGTTTCCATTTTCACCAGATATTATTCTGACTTCTTCAGCTCCCATGCAGCCATCTACATGACTTAGATGGTTTTTCCAGAGAAACTCAACTTTTGAAATGTTCCCAGAAATTTCTGTATCAATATAGTTCAAGTATGTGTTGCCTGGTTTGAAAGTGCCCCTGTCAAAAGAAAAGCACAGAAGTGATGCTCTGTGTTCTTTACAAATGAGAGGGGGAAAGGGGAAAGCTCCAAGCAGAAAGAGTATTACCATTTTTCCTTTTTTTCAGCAGTCATGTTAAACTTACTTGTCAATTGTATATTTTTTGCTGATCCCATTAGTTCCAGTCAAGGCTATATCTATATTTCCCTTCATGGTTTCTGTTGCAGATACTCTGACACGTATCTCTTTTCGCCAGCCTTTGAAAGCAAAATGAAATAGATTATGGATATTTTGTCAGAACGCTGTTGAAATCAATAGCTTAAAATGAAGCAAAATGAAAGCTTGTATTTTTGAAGGTAAGACTATGATTTATTTTTCATAAAAACTTCAAATCAATTTCTAGAATGGCCTGCGTTGCACTGCGCACACTGTGGTCTCGTGTCGTTAAATTCAGTGACCCAAACCAGCCCCTGGCCCTGCTGCATGCTTTTTTGTAACCCTGGGGAAAATATTCACATCTCTTTTGCTTCAGTTCCTGAATTTTAGAAAGGGAAACTAAGCATTCCTTTTCGTCTCCTTGAGTCCCCTTTATTTGTTCAACTCGGGGGCAGAGATCCATGCCTGATTTATGAAGGATATTATATGGCGTAATTACTAGCTGCAGGTATTTCCCAACTGCGTAGAAGTACCTGGGGGGGGAGGATTGTTTGGTTCTTCTCCAGGGGAGCACAGAGAGGAGAGTCCCTACTTGCACAAGAAGGGGGTCTTGCCTAAGGAGTTTCCCTAAGGGGCAGAGGATGGGATGGTTTCTGGATCCTACTCTGCATGGGTGGAGATGGCCAGGGTACCAGACCAGTGAGTCTGAGAAGGTAGACATCTGATTTGTCAACTTGGCTGCAAACCTTCTAGCGAGCTCCTCTGGCAAACTTCACAGGAGGTGACTGGATTCTGACATCTCAAAATTATTGCTGTGTAATTTGAAACACGCCTGTTATCACTCACGTTCAGCCTTGTGTAACCCATCTCATTGACACCTTCTGGTAAACCTCACTGGACGTATTCTGGAATAGCCAGTTGTTAGGAGGGACAGATCAGCATTGCCCAAAGTGATTCACACACAGGATTTCTGTACCCAAATGATAAAACTCACATTAGATTTAAAAATTAGATGTGTGTCTTAGGTCACAGTGGGCAATTAAAAACCGAGAGGATTTTTGTGGGTAGCTTGTATTGAAACAGAAACAGTCTTAGCTTATTTTGCTTGATGCTGATAACTCTTAGTAGTCTGGTTTTGTTAACCAGTATAGCCAAAATGCTGCCAAATATTGGGGGGGCAATGCTGTATAGTAATGCAAATAATGCAGCTCAGGTGCAACTTCAGTGGCTTCAGAAAGGCGAGTTAGAGGTGGAAAATTCAGCTTCACTGGTAAAGAGAAAATAGTTACTTTGAAAGTTGTCAGAAAATTGAAGATCCTCAATAGCGTAGCATAGTTTTGACGAAGAAGATGCCTGTTTCAGGCATAAAGAAAGGCCCAGCTCACCCACCCAGTGTTCAGCAGAGCACATGAATGAGTGTCTTGAATAGAGCACATCAATGAGTTCTTCCCCAGGAAAAAGGCAGCGATCAAATGTTTTGCTCCATGTTAAGCTGTTGTACTTGACGCATGGTGAATTTCTGATGGTAGAGTTTTTCGAGGTCTATTGTACGTCTTGGTGTGCAGTCCCAGCTCCTAAGCACTCTTTTGGATGTGCTGCTAAAATATTGTTTAAATATGTTCTTCAGGAAGCAAGGACACGTCAGGCAACAGTATTCAAACTCTGATTGTTTTTATATTTAAAATTATTCCTCAGACTCCTGACACAGAAGCAATCAGATGCTTCTGAAAGCATGGAAGTGTTCGTTTGCTGAACAAGTAAGAAGGTGCTACTAAAGAATTTGGTTGTCTGTGCTCCTTTTTTGTTTTCTCCCCTCCTCCTACCCTTTTTTTTCTTTTCTCTTTTTTTCTTTTTTCTCCTGTCTTCCTTCTTTTTTTCTTTTTTCCTTTTTTTATGTTTCTTCCTTCTTTTTCCTTTTTTTTTTTTCTTATTGCACACTCCTTCTAAGATAACTAAGAGCATTTTGAAGGTAAATTGACCAAGGATTCTTTTTCATATTTTTTATTTTCTTCCTTGACTTTGAAATATAATCACACTGCAGGTGTGTGTTACTAGTGAAATACACATCAGTGGTCATTGTAACTGGAACTCAGAAGTGTTACTCCCCTGTATGGATAAAAGCTGACAACGTTAATTTGGAAATAGAGCTTTTGTAGAGGACTGGGCAAGTTTTTCATAATCTGTTGAAGGAGCTTTGTGAATGTTTTTTCTGCTGACTGAGGAAGTGTATGGTCTTCCAGACGGTGAGGGTTGCCATAGTGGACAACCACAGCGTTCCTCGGTGAGCCTCAGCAAAGCGTCAGGGCTTGCCATGTGCTCGGTCGCACGGTCCCACAGCCACAGAACACAGACCTGGAGAGGGAGGGAGAGTTTAAGGAAATATACTTCAGCACAATGGGACGTTCTTTTAGCAGCAGACCAAGATAAGAAATATAAATCCTATTTTTATTTTATGTTAGGCCAAAGCATGAGTTCTCGTAGACTTAGAAAATAAGTGTGTGTTATGAAATGATTTTTTAAAGAATTACTAGTTAGTGACTAAATATTACATTTTTAGACATATTTGCCTTTATGCTCAGACTCTTGTTAGTGTCTTAAGACTGTGCTTTTGAAGGGAATCTTGAATCTCTCACTCCATTTTCCCCAGTTATCACACTTTGGTTTACATGACAGAGTGGTGTTGGGACACATCAGCTGGGTTCATTTTGGTTAAAACTCCCAGGAGAGGTGTGCTCCAGAAGTGTACCTGGTGTACTGCAGGTCCCTGTGGGCACCTGGCCCATGGGATCAGGTTGGAACAGCCTAAAGTACCCTGTTGAGGGAAGCATACTGCTGCACTGTGCAGGGCTGTTTCTGATGTGCTGCAATTTAGGAGAAAAACTTGTACCTTTCTCACAAATGCAGGGCTATACCACCCCTGAATTTCAGGTTGGATATCTCTCTTCTTTGAGGAAGTCTGGCCGCAGTGCTGAGCTGGTGGCAGTAACTCTAGTCAGCCAAATGCCCAGGTACTGCTATGAAATTTGGATGAGGCTCTTGTTTTGGGTACTTAAACCCACTTACTTTAAGGGGCATAGAGTCACTTAGGTTGGAAGGGACCTTTAAGATCATTGAGTCCAACCATTAACCTAACACTGCGAAGTCCACCACTAAACCATGCCCCTGAGCTCTACACCTACATGTCTTTTAAATACTTCTAGGGATGGTGATCCAACCCCTTCCCTGGGCAGCCCGTTCCAATGCTTGACAACCTTTTGGTGAAGGGATTTTTCTTAATATCCAATCTAAACCTCCCCTAGTGCAGCTTGAAGACATTTCCTCTTGTCCTTATTGCTTGTGAAGACACCAACGCCCACCTCACTACAACCACCTTTCATGGAGTTGTAGAGAACGATAAGGTCTCCCCTCATTCTCCTTTTCTCCAGACAAGACATCCCCAGCTCCCCCAGCTGCTCCTCACAAGACTTGTGCTTCAGACCCCTCACCAGCTCCATTGCCCTTCTCTGGACACACTCCAGCACCTCAATGTCTTTTTTGTAGTAAGAGGCCCAAAACTGAAACACCGCACTTGAGGTGGGGCCTCATCAGTGCCCAGTACAGGGGGATGATCACTTCCCTAGTCCCGCTGGCCACACTGCTGCTGATACAGACATTGGAAGAGATCTTTAAGGTCATTGAGTCCAACCATTAACCTAACACTGTGAAGTCCACAACTAAACCATGTCCCTGAGCTCTACACCTACATGTCTTTTAAATACTTCCAGGGATGGTGATCCAACCACTTCCCTGGGCAGCCCATTCCAATGCTTGACAACCTTTTGGTGAAGGGATTTTTCTTAATATCCAATCTAAACCTCCCCTAGTGCAGCTTGAAGACATTTCCTCTTGTCCTTATTGCTTGTGAAGACACCAACACCCACCTCGCTACAACCACCTTTCACAGAGTTGTAGAGAACGATAAGGTCTCCCCTCAGCCTCCTTCTCTCCAGACAAGACATCCTCAGCTCCCCCAGCTGCTCCTCACAAGACTTGTGCTTCAGACCCCTCACCAGCTCCGTTGCCCTTCTCTGGACAGGGGGATGATCACTTCCCTAGTCCTGCTGGCCACACTGCTGCTAATACAGACAAGGATGCTGTTGGCCTCTTTGGTCACCTGGGCACACTGCTGGCTCATGTTCATGACCAACACCCCCAGCTCCTTTCCTTCCAGGCAGCTCCAGCCACTCTTCCCCAAGCCTGTAGCACTGCATGGGGTTGTTGTGGCCCAAGTGCACGAACCAGCACTTGGCATTGTTGAACCTCATTCTGTTGGCCTATCAATACCATGCAAAGGTGTTTTGGGTGTTTTTTTCCCTTTTTCTGTTTGGTTTGTTTGTTGTTCCTCCCTCCCTCTCCCACCCCGGCCCCACGGAACAAAACACCATTAGATTATGTACTCACACGTTTCCATTTTCACCAGATATTATTCTGACTTCTTCAGCTCCCATGCAGCCATCTACATGACTTAGATGGTTTTTCCAGAGAAACTCAACTTTTGAAATGTTCCCAGAAATTTCTGTATCAATATAGTTCAAGTACGTGTTGCCTGGTTTGAAAGTGCCCCTGTCAAAAGAAAAGCACAGAAGTGATGCTCTGTGTTCTTTACAAATGAGAGGGGGAAAGGGGAAAGCTCCAAGCAGAAAGAGTATTACCATTTTTCCTTTTTTTCAGCAGTCATGTTAAACTTACTTGTCAATTGTATATTTTTTGCTGATCCCATTAGTTCCAGTCAAGGCTATATCTATATTTCCCTTCATGGTTTCTGTTGCAGATACTCTGACACGTATCTCTTTTCGCCAGCCTTTGAAAGCAAAATGAAATAGATTATGGTTGCGAGGAGATTTCTTTCCTAATGGTAATATGTGTTTCAATGTTTTCCAGGGAGAGGAAAGGATTGCACAAATGTGCTTGGAAGCAAATAAAATGTTACTCTTTATTAAGGCAAATGTTAGTTCTGCGTGATTCTGGTAGTACTAATTTCCTTTACAGTGGTCTAAATTGGAAATCAAATCTTTGCTGACCTACTGACTCTGTTAGTATTTAATCTGCCATGGCCAATGTTGTACCTTGCTCTTCCATTTGGCCTCGCTTTTAATTTTTTAATTTCTTAGAATTTGAGATTTTCTTAAAAAACTCAAAGCAAGCAATTTTTGGGGTCTCATGGGTAGGATGTCAGCTGTCTATGAAGTGAGTTCCACTGAACTGCTGTGGTGTTAATGATATATTAAAAAAAAAACGGCAGCTTTCCCAGGATAATCCTGATGTTCAGAGTGTTCAGGGTTTGTCTTATACCTGTGTGCAGCCCAACAGCAGTCAGAAGCTCTTCTCAGCCCACATGTATTTCAAAGGCAGAAGAAGGGCCTCGGATGCAATAGCACATACTGATTTCAAGAAACCAGATTTAGGAAGTTTTTGTACCGGGTTTAATTCTGGCTATTTAAAGGAGAATCTCTTCACCTACTTCATAAAGTTATATTTGGTTTCAGACTATAGTTTTTATAAACTCCACAGTTTGTAAATGTTGAAATTAATGTATTCATTCAGATTTGAGAAATGGCTAGTTCCTCTATACTCAAACACTCTGTATTCATTTTTTTACCTTTTGCTCTTACAGACATGTGACATAAGATTTTTTTTTTTTGTTCTTAATTTTGCTTTCATATTTTTTTGCCTAGTGAATAAGGACCTCAAAGACCCTCTTTCAGTTATTGCCTTTGCAATTCACCCTGTATTCATTTTTTTACCTTTTGCTCTTACAGACATGTGACATAAGATTTTTTTTTTTTGTTCTTAATTTTGCTTTCATATTTTTTTGCCTAGTGAATAAGGACCTCAAAGACCCTCTTTCAGTTATTGCCTTTGCAATTCACCACCTGTGATGGATTACAATTTATTTATGAATTTTCTTATTTCCCAGTTCTTTGGCTGCTTCTACATTAATCATAATTCATATTACTCCCTGCCATTTTGGCTTGATGAGTTTTGCAAAAATACCCCAAAATCATCTACTTTCATAAATTTTTGTCAATAAAACCAAGGTAACATTGATTTGAAATTTTGCACTTTCAGCGTAACATTCACCTTTTTGAAATTTTGCACTTTCAGCGTAACATTCCTCCCACCTCCAGCTTTATAGAATTTTTAGAAGCCGTCATTTAATTAACAAAATTTTAATAGGGTTTCTAGCTCAGAGGTCAGCATCAGTTGATCTGTTTCTATCATTATCTCAGCCTTTCCCAGACGCTGCTGGTACTGCATGTTCTCAACACACCTGAGACTCTAGATTTTGTACTGAGTGATGTTCATGAACTCCAGCAGCTCCCTGTAAAAGTGTAAGATATTTGTTCACACATAATTCATTGCCACTTCAGAATTCACCACCCAAAATGAGCACTTACGAGCATATGGAGTGGAGGGTCCTGTGTTTAAATAAACCCTTTGCTCTTCTTTTTCAGTTTTATGTAAAAACTTATCAGCATAGTGACCCATTAGTGGACATCCTTCCTTCGGACATGGGAAGCAGTCTCCCTGGAGGAAAATTACAATGTGTGTTACAAGACGTTATCTGTTTTAGTCCCACTTCTTAAACTTTAAGAAATTAGACTATTTCAGTGCTTTCCCACCATTTTTGAAAGGTATTTGCTTCAGATCATATCTTCAGTATTTATCAGTGTGGTGAAAAAAGGATTTGGCATTATTGGTCAGCTTATTTACCTGTTTTAGTCCCACTTCTTAAACTTTAAGAAATTAGACTATTTCAGTGCTTTCCCACCATTTTTGAAAGGTATTTGCTTCAGATCATATCTTCAGTATTTATCAGTGTGGTGAAAAAAGGATTTGGCATTATTGGTCAGCTTATTTCATCTGGTTGAAAATCAGAGAGAAACAGGTTGAAAATCTGGCCCAATTCCTTATGCTTTTGCAGAGACTGTAAGTAAATACCTTAATGCATGTTGGATGTTACATTCATCTGGTTGAAAATCAGAGAGAAACAGGCTGAAAATCTGGCCTAATTCCTTATGCTTTTGCAGAGACTATAAGTCTTAATGCACGTTGCGCATTACCTGTATTTTACAGATCAGATAGTAATATATTCATCTTTCGTAGGGTCCATTGAAAGGTTGTCTCCTATTTATTATAGGGTTGGTAGCTATATTTGCAAGCAGATCTGGCTGGATATCTCACTTGTATGGTAAAGCTATTTAAGCTTAGGAATACTGAGGCTTGGGGTCTCACTTTGGGATGTGTTCTGTCTGCATTTTAGACTTTACTCCCTTGCAGTAACCTTAATGAAATTAATCTACCTGCTTAGATCAAACATTCAGGTCAAGACCTTGATGTCCATGAAAAAAAAATAAAAAATAAACCCGTATGTATTTTCAGTGAAAGTTATTTAATTGCAATTGGAAAAAACAGCATTGTTATATTTCAGTAGTTCAGTTTTGATATTAGGGAGTTTCTGTAGGACCTGGTATTTTTGGATCTTTGGCGGGCATTAGATGAATAAAAGGCTAAATGATCATTACCAATTTATTATGAGACTGAAAAAAAGCATTTCACTTGCATCATTAATTGCACACGGTTGAGGTTTTCAAGTCTTGAGTTACATCAAACTTTCAAGTCTTGTAGCAACATTGCTACAAATATTAACAACTTTTTCACAGCATTGTAATCTTTCCTTTTGGGAGTAGATGGAAATAAATTCAAACTTGTCTTCCTCCTTGGCCAGTCCTCAGTAGCATTGCCAAAATTGGTCCACAAAAAGCCCAGTTATATTGGGCATGAAACACCAGGACATTATGCTTCCTTCTTTGTTGTGCCATCTGAGGGTTGTGTGAACAATGCCGTGCTGTATAAACATCTCCCCTGCCCTATATACTATGGATGTTTATTGATTATATGTATGTTTAAACATTTCTGGTATCCAGAGGCTGTCCTCTTGATGATGGGTTCCACCAGGTTTAGATCCTTCAACCAGTGTCCCTTACTGTTGACCTATGCAAAAGGTGAACCCTGCCCCTGCCTCTCATTGCCCTCTTACAGAGGTCCTCTTGATGATGGGTTCCACCAGGTTTAGATGGACTTCCTTCAACCAGTGTCCCTTACTGTTGACCTATGCAAAAGGTGAACCCTGCCACTGCCTCTCATTGCCCTCTTCATCTCTCTCTTTGCAACTGTTTTTGGTTGTTTTGGACTTCATCTCTCTCTTTGCAACTGTTTTTGGTGGTTTTGGAGTTTGTATTTTTGCATTTACTGCCCTATTTTCTTCTGCATCTTTTTTTTGAATTTGCTACTTTTACGTTTTGCCTGGTTTTTGGGTATTGTCTCGATGAGGGTAGTCAGTGGGTCTGCACAGCCACCCTCCTGTATCCCATGATCTAGAATGTAGAAGTTTTCCCAGAAATTATTAAGAGAAGAAGGGCAGGGCTATAACCCCACAGATAAATATGTACCTGATACTTACCAATACAAAATCTTGGTATGTTTCACACAGATACCCAACAAATCCATCGGGAGTGATAATACTCTCAGCGTAATACCGGAGACTTCTTTTATGTCCACATCCAAAAGCTCTGTATCCTGAGGAAATGCCCAGGTAAAAAAAAGATTAAAGCTATACATTAACATAAAGCCCATGCCAAAACAACACTTGTGGGTCTTTTTTCCCTGAAAGCATTTACACATACAAATTTAATTTAATCTGAAGTCTCAGATTAAAAAGAAGTAATAATTAGATGATGTTTAAAGTGTGATTTACTTGGTTTTATAGCAAAATGTGTACTTATGGCTACAAATATTTTTTGATGGGGAAGAGCTAGGTTCTAGTCTGTGTGTTGCTGTGCTCGTGCCAAAATTCACAGAGGTGGAGATGCACCAAGGTGGAGGTCATGCAGCCCCCTGTCCAACCATGGGTACTTAACTGCTTTTACTTCAGCATGAGAATAGAGGAGGATTTAGGAGAATTTCCCTTTGATATTTCAAAGACTGAAATAATTCATAGCTACAGAGTTTGTAAAGCATATAGTAGTTACTGTGAAGTAATTTTCATTTGCTTACCATTATCACAACATGGTATTTTGTAAAACCACAGTTTCCACTGATTTCTAGAATTAAAGGTAATTGTAGTAATTATTTTAACTTCAGTGGCTTTCAATGTTTTTAAGCTCTAGAAAATCTGTGGTCATTTGACAGTGGTGATTCTGTGAAATGCTCTAAAAAGCAAGATGTTTGGCAGTGTGTCCTTGATTTTGTCAGAATTATTTGAAACAAGTACATTTTCCCATCAGAATGAGATTTATAAGCAGGCAGTGCAGGAAAGAAGAAAGTGCAATTTGGGTTATATTTACAGGTCCCTTGTAACAAGTATTGTCTTCATTGGCTCTGAACAATTTTTGTGTAAAAATAGGCTCTACTCTGCTTCAACATGTGTGGGGGCCCACCTAATTACAGCATGAAGTCATGGAGGCATTACGTAATTATAAATTGGCATAGTTTATAGTGAAATCCAAATTTCACCTACTATCAATGTCTGTGCATCTTAAAGACAGGCCAGTTAGTATTGACCAGTTGACACACATTGTTCTTTACACGAAGAAAGAAAAATCACACCAAAAACCCTCTGAAATTTGTTTTTATCCTTTTTTTTCTGAAAACAATATGCATCATTAAGGTGTTCTCACTATCTTTTCTTTATTGTGTCTTTAAAACTAATTCAGGAAGGTCTGTGCTTTTAACTATAAAAACTTCAGCTCTTACTGTTGGATTATTTTGTGCTAGTGTGGAATTCACTTAACATCTATACAATGGGAACATAACATTCCTACTGCATCAAATGCTGTAGAAAGAAGTTACTAAATAGCATTTCTAAAGCCAGTAATACATAAAAGCACTATAGAAATGTAAATATTATCAAACAGAAGACGTATGCACAAAGTAAGGTTTAACCAAGAGGCAGGAGCTAAAGTAATCTCTAATTTTAGGAGCTGAATGAACAACCAACTCCATCCGCTCGTGTTCAATTGAGCTGGGCTTCTCCCTCACCACAAAACATTGCAAACAGACTTGTGAAATATCTGTGGAAAATATTTAATTATTTTTTTTTTCTGAAAAGGCAGACATTCTTATGCAATCTGGTTGGAAGTTGTTTTGGTTCCCAGTGACTTTGTGCACAGCCAGCTTTCAGTCCTCTTTGTTACAAAGTTCTCCAACCAGGTCTAAGACTGAACTTTTTTGAAAGCCAATTACTTAACTAGCAGCAGGGATTTCAAAACATTTAGCTGTGAATAACAGATATTCTTATTTTTGTAGGTTAGGACCAGAAGGCAGGATTTTGGGGGTCTATTGTGCTGGATCCCAGGGTAATTCTGATTAACTGCCCAGCTTTCTTTGAAGAACATGGACTATCAATGCAGCAGTCATTTTATCATCTTCTGTATTTTTAACCTTGTGCTGTTCCCTTTGAAGACACTAAAACTGTTAATGGCGTGGATGAGTATGTCTAGCCCCAGTTACATTGGAACTAATGTCTTCCTAGGGAGAAGGGAAGCTCAGATTTTAAAATTCTCATTTTTGGATTATCCTTGAGTGAAACTTTACTGGTCCTTCATGTGTGGAATTCCCACTGAGGTTAGTCGGTCAGCACAGTGACAGGCTCTTGTAACAGGTTGTGATGAACGAGTCTGCATGCTTTAACTGAAGTTTCCATCTGGAATTTGCCTTGGTTAGTAGATAAGATAATTGGAGGGTATTTCACAGGCAGCTTTAAATCTTCCATTTTTGAGCATTCTCCCCCTACTCCAAATTTGAGCTATATAAATAATATATACATTCAAAATGCCTAGCCTTTATTTCTAACTGCCTATAATGAGGTATTTCTTAAAAATATATTTACCTCTCATAAGGTCATTGATATTCCGAGTTGCAGGAGGTACCCGAAGTTGATTGCACCCTGGCATCTTCTTCCCACCGTTTGGGTAAAAATCCAGGTGGCCGCATGTCTGAAGAATCCCTGGAGCTGAAATACAGAATGAATTGAGGCTGATCGTTCTCAGGTACACAGTGGCCAAAGTCAGCTTTTGGGCAAAAAAACTTACCAAAGTCAAAGAACAGATGACCAGCATGAGTATGAATTATATCAACAAATTTTGCATCTGAAGGATCCAGCCTAACCATGGTGGGAGTATACTGAAAAAGGGGCCCAGCTGGATCCAAACCTAAATAAATGGAGATACATCTGATTGAGTAAATAGCACTATATGTATGTCATCACATACAGTCTGTGTGCACTGTGTGTCACTACATTTTGACCTTCACTCTACATATAAAAGTCCGTTTTGTGGTCCATGGCAGCCAGCAAAACAAGCAGGGTTTTAATGGAATGGTGGCTAGAAGCATTGCAGTGCAGAAAAAGGCTGATGGGTGCTTGGCTTACTCTTGAGGAGCAATGTTATAAGAGGTTTGGTGGTTTTTTACTTGTTAGTGAAAGACATGAAATCTTGATGTGTTATTCTGAGCATGTAGGCTTGTCTGAGTGTTTTCATTTGGTCAAAAATCTAAGCCCAGTTTCCCTGACTTGCTTATGTGACTGCTCACTGTGTATGTAGCTTTGTCAAAGCAATGTCTGTGCATAGAAAAGAACCGACTGGAGGAGAAAGGCAAGCAGAAAACAGTGAGTTCTTAAAAAACGTTATGTGTGAGCGTGTTGTGTGCTGCATCTCTCTGTGTAGCTATGAGACTAATAGCTTGCTTCCTTTTCAGGGTGTCTGTGGCTATTTACTGTCTCATCCTGACATACTAGATCTAGGGCTTTCAGTTTTTCGTTTCAGATTTTCAATCTTTTGAACTGCTGAAAAGTCATGTTTAGAGTGGGCTTCTAAAACCAAATATGACAATGAGTTGCTAATGTTTTACAAGTCTGGTTTTCCACATTAATCCAGTTTTTTGTTCCTGTTCTTCTATATCCTTAAAAATCATAACTGACTGCTCCCTGGGACTTGTTGTGACTTGTGAAAAGTGACCTCTGCTTAGCTATAGTTGGGACAGTTGAGCCTTTCTGACCTGTTGCAGTTGAGCTCAGGGCTGTGAACGTTGACGTGTGAAATGCATGGCATGTGATAGGACATGGCTTCATTTGTGTGCTGTCTCATAACTGACTGCTCCCTGGGACTTGTTGTAACCTGTGAAAAGTGACTTCTATTTAGCTACAGCTGGGACAGTTAAGCCTTTCTGACCTGTTGCAGTTGAGCTCAGGGCTGTGAACGTTGACGTGTGAAATGCATGGCATGTGATAGGACATGGCTTCATTTGTGTGCCGTCATGTTAGCTGTCTGCTGTTAATTACGACAAACCAGCACCTTGTGGTCTGTACTCATGTTAGCTGTCTGCTGTTAATTACGACAGACCAGCACCTTGTGTGTTTATAAAGCATCAGTGATTCTTCAGTTCTCTTAAGTCGCATGAAAATATCAAGTGTCATCAGCTGAAATAGCCTCGGTACCTGTTATTCTTCCAATGCCAGGTTTCCTCCTCCCTGCCTCCCCTGCGGCGTGTGCTCCAAGGCTGTGGCCGATGAAGTGAATGTTGGCAGGAGAGTAGCCATAGTCTTTCTGTGAAGATGTATGGAAGGGTGAAAACAAACATGTCAAGCGGGGGTTACAAGCCTGTGGCTCTGCACCACGGCCCCGTGCTGTGCCAGGACATGGCCAGACCAGTGGGTGATGGAGGGGACTGTCGTGGGTGAGAATTTAATGTTGAGGGTGGTGGGATCTGTACCAAAAGAGAAGCAGCTCCTAACTCATCCCATCCCCCGTATAGCATGCCTCTGGAAGGGAGTAACCTCTGTTAGGAATTGACAATAGAAAAGAAGGAAAAGGGAATTTCTACACACAACTCCCCTACATTGGCACTTGTTGCTTATCCAAAAGAGGAGTGACCCCATGACTCACCCCTGAACCTGTCTGCCTGGTCAGGACAGTGGTCTGTGGTGGAGGAGTTTTTGGGGCAGCATACCCTCTTTGTGAATCCAGTGGCTCTCCTCCTATGGAGAAGTTCCACCACCCAGGTCCTGTAGGTGGGGAGGACCACGCCAGGAGCACTGCTGGTGTGCCAGGCTCAGCTGAGCCTCTGCTTGGGAAGCCTGGGAGTGGTGGCTGCAGGAGAGCTGCTTCTCTGTGCTGCCATCCAGTTCTCACAGGAGCAGTGTTTGTGACTTGCAGAGGGAAGTTTTAACCACATTGACCCTCTACTGCTACTCTGCACCCTTTTGGTTTTTCTGGACAGTCTCTAATCTGATGTTTTATCCAGTAAAAAGCCCATTATGAGCAAAACTTTCAGAAACTATGCCCTGTATGGCTTTAGGGATGTGCTTATCTGTGGTTTGACGCTAAAGTATTTCCATTTGTGCAGGATTAGAGAGTTTTTATGACATTTTCAGCTGTGTTATTGAGTACTTCTGTACCTCCTAAAGGTGCCACCCTGAACACAGTCTTTGCCATACAGGTTATGGGCTGGTGTTCACGTTCCATGGTTATTTTTACCTCAAGAAGGTTCACCAGATACACCAGCTCAGCCCCCACAATGCGGACGTTGTTAACGGCGTCAGTGTACAAACCACTAGAGCCACCTCTCCAGTCAATCAAAATACAGTTCACGTCCTCAGTGCGAAACATGAGCTGGTGGAAAACATGACGACAGGAGAACAGAAGGAAATGGGCATTAGATACAGTAGTAGCAGGGAATATACAAACAATCTTTTGTTTTCCTGTAGCTGGGAAGTCATTTTGTCTCTGCATGACTGATAAAGACACATCTTTAATATATTAATTCCTACTAGTACTGAAGAATCAACACAAGGAGGCAGAGTGGAGGCAGTGATGTTAACACACAGAACACTGCTTAGGTTCCGTTTTCCATTCCAGATGCCTTGATTGGCTTTAGGGTATCAACTTCTCTTAATGACAGAATGCTAGTTAAAAAAAATGAGGATAGTATGACCTCTTTTTTATCTTATCTTAAACTTTATTCTTCAAAATTTATATGTTGGACCATCTAAAAGGATTCGCAAACTTGTGTGCATGTGCTTGAAGTGTTCAGCCCCAAAGTTCATATATTTTAACAAAAAATTCCTATTTATATACTTCTGGCAATGGGACATTCTGATTTTTCATTCTGAAACCATTTCATTTTTGAAATGTGCCTAAATAAAATGAAACTGATCTGCTGAACAAAACATTTTGTTTTTCTTAGATCAAGCATCTCACTCAAACTGAAATGTTTTTTTCAACCTTTTGCTGAGGTGGGAAAAGTGACTTTTCACCCCCTTTATTATTGGCAAGGAATTGAAAAATCAATTAATTATAGCTTTCCCTGTGGAGGTGAATGCAGCAGAAGGGTATTTAGCACAAGGCTGAAGTGCACTACACTCATAACTAGGAACACGAGTGTGGTCTTGTCGAACTGAGCTTCATTCTCAGGGTTTTTTCCCCTCGTTTATTCACCGAATTAACAAGAGAACAGAGGTGTATATTTTATGTGGGAATTTTAAGTCAGTTAATGTGGATATTTGCACTTTCAAACACAAGTAAAATGCCAATAGTCATACTGTACCCTGCATATATTTGTTATCCAGAGGAGGTCCGCTCCAACAAGATGGCCATGTATAAGGAAGCGAGTTTTCCTGTGTGGTCGAAAATTTGAAGCTTTGATAGTCAATGGATCTGTAGCAGAAATTTTCTGTGTAACAAAAACAAAACCAAAAAACAACCAACGAACAAAACAACAAGGATGTGACTGCTCCATCCCACTGTACATTTTGATACAAAGCAGAGCACCCCAGTGGTTAAGGAATAGTTCTGGACTCTGAAGAGATGGGTCTTGTTCCTCACTCTTAAACTGCCTTACTGGGGGATATCAAGAAATCACTTCAACAAATGATTCACTTCCTCTAGTTAATTGAACTAATAATATTGGCAACCTTTGCACAATGCTTTGAGATACACTGGTACAACGTGCCGTGTAAAGATTTTATCAAACTTGGCCATAGAAATATAAAGTTAGCATCTTCTGGTTGACTTTGAATCTGTAACGATTTTTCTTGCTTTTTTCTTTGAAGATAAGACCTTCATCACTAAGCTTATTTATATTTTATCTTAAATATATTCCAGACAGCATAAGAAAGCCCACCAGGCTTAGAACATCAGAGGCAGTAGGTATCCTGGGGGTTATTGGGAAGGAAGGTGTTATTTTCTTTTAAAAAAAATTCTGAATACTGGGTTACTTTAAAATTTGGTTCTTACTTATTTTTTGTTATGGTTTCACAAGCTTAAAAGGAGATGTCACATACTAATTAGTACACATATCACCTTCAGTGAAAGATGGATTAAAGTCAAAACCTTATAGGCTTCCTCAGCTAGAGATGTTAGACTTGTTCTCAGGTGATTCTGGAGTAATCATTAAATGCCTCCAATGTTTGTGACTGCCATTTATATAAAAAAAACAGCTCTGAAGCCTTTTTCATGTAATGCAAGCCAACAACAGCAACACATTGCACCCCCCTTGCCCCTTTCATATTAATTTGCCTCATTTTTCTTGCTCTTTGTCCAAGTAAAATTCACACTCCTTGATAGTCAGTTCTCTTCTTTCACCAGACTAGTCTGTAGCTCCACAAAACTGCTTCATGTCACAGCCCAGCCCAGACACCTCCAACACCTTGAGCGTCCTGCTGTGTGCTTTTCCTGGCCTTCAGACAAAAGGGTTGACGCACTTCTGGCATCTTTCAGGACATTCCCATTTGATCCATCCCATGCAGTCCTGCAGGCTCCTTTTAGCTACTTCCATTTGTCGCTCTGTCATGGTCTAGAGCTTCCTCTTGCTGCCACTCTTTTGCAGATATGTTTTTTCTTCCATACAGCTCCAGACTCTACTGTCTCTATGCTTCTCTACCTTGAAGTTTCTTCATGAGAGAGAACCTGGATCGGCTCTCTGTAAGAGGAATCTCCAAACTGTCTCCATCTACCAGTCTTTAGCTTTTTAGTCTCCGTTTTCTCTCAGTACCACTGTTCCACAAAATGTTTAATATTTGTTTATTTTCTTTCTCCATTCACATTTCACTCTCTTTTTGGTTGTTTCCTTCTTTTTCCACATATAATTTCATTGTCTCCTTCATCTTTCCTTTAGTCTCCCATTTTCCTTTCTAAGCTTTCCTTTCATTTTTCATCTTGTTTTCCTTCCTCTCTGTGTTGAACACAGATACTCTCTCTTCTGATCTTCACTCTTCGCTATCTACCTGCTCTTAGGGCTTAGCATTGGCCACCACATAAGCAGAGCCTCTGAGACCAATTGTATGTTTTTAATCTGGAGATATACAGAAGCCAAGATTGAACTTTCATTTTTTACTGTCTAAATCTGAAAATGAATTTAGCTTACTGCAGAGAAGTATATAAAACATATCCAAAATATCCCAGGTGACTTGTGTTAGAAGGCTGTAATTAACATGCTGTAAATATACCTGGCTCATCAGAGAGCTGAAATGAGGAAAAAGAAAAAAAGATGGAAGAAAATTATGATGGACTGTCTGTGTGTAATATAGAATTGAGGCCTCTCATGGGGACTCATGAGCAAAAATACAGAAGAAAAGAAACTGTCTGTATAATCTGTTGAATGTGTTATATACTATCAGTGTTTGAAAACAAAGCAGTTTCTTACTTGGTATTTTATGATATTGTCTCTAGTGTAAAGAAGGAATTTGGTGTTCACATCTTCTGGAGAGCTGGGCAAGCCTGCCAGCTGTCTCCCTGGAATCCCAGACCAAGGTGGGCTGTCTGTAAAGCATCCAAGCCTTTTGTAGCAAACATCCCTTCCTGGGGTACACAAAGAAAAATGTTAATGTTCCGGGAAGGTAGCGGGTTAGGCTGCCATCACTTCACAAGGAGCTGGCAGGATAATATTTATACCAAGGAAGCAGAAAATGGCTAGTTCAGATTAGGATGGGACCTGTGTTCATTTTTCATTAAGGGACTCAGTTGTGCTTCTGTGCCTTGTGTGTAGCAGGGATTTGAACTTCAAGACTGATTCCTGTTGCAAATATAGTGTAGAGCTCGGTTTGTTGAACCCATGACTTATTTTGTCAAACTCATTAACACAGCCATGGGAAAAAGATAATAAAATCTGGATCCTTTGTGGATGCAGAGAACAAACCAGCTTTTGCTGCCAGTGCAGAACAGTCCTTCAAATTAGTGCTACTGCTCCATGGATTATCTAAATTGTTATGTCTTGTGCAACAATTCATGAGGGAGTAAAATGAAACTAAAACATTAAAACAGATATCTCTGGTTGCTCCATAACATACATTAAACATTTCTCTTATTTTTTTATCACCATCAGATTTTAGTGGAATCAATGAAGTGGAATTTGAGTGGAAACTTAAAGCAAAGGACAGCCTCAGGAAGTGTGATCTGTGCCTGAAGGACTAAAGTTTCCCAATTTCTATTGTGGCTGTAATACAGTAACGATGCAAATATGACATACAGGCGTTGCCATTAAATGTCATCCTTACCCACAATTATAGCACCACAGTTGTGAAATCCCAAGTAACTTTTATTGCCATTAAAAAGATACTGAAAACAATGAGAAACTACTTTTACTTAGGACAGGTGACAGATTCATACTACTTCACACCATGACTTAATCTGTTTGTTACTCTGTACAAAAGGCAGGGGCAGAGTGATATATACTGCAAATAGGATCACAGAATCATATAATTGTTTAGGTTGGAAGGGACCTTTCAGATCATCAAGTCCAACCGCCAACCTAACACTGACAAAAAAACATCACTAAACCATATCTCTAAGCACTCTGTCTACTTGCCTTTTAAATACCTCCAGGGATGGTGACTCAACCACTGCCCTGGGCAGCCTGTTCCAATGCTTATTAATAACCCTTTCAGCATAAAAATTTTTTTCTAATATCCAATGTGCTCCTAATGAAAATGTATGTTAAATCCATTCCAAAGCACGTCCTTTTTCTAAAATGTAGTTATTCTGGTGTAAGGTGCACACAACATTTTTTACAGTTTGTAGATTTTATCAACTATGGGTCTTACCTCTGGCTGCTTGAAGAAGAAAAAGAGTAGTGATCCATGCTGCAAACATCTAAAGCAAATAAGAACACAATTCAAACCTAATTAAAAATGGAATCTGGAATTCACCTAAGGGTTTCCTTGATCCATTTAAAAAAAAAAAGTCATAGTGGCCATGGTAGAACTTCAGGCATTTAATGAGTTTGATCTCAAAGAATCAACGCTTCCCTAAAGATAGCAAGGTTTCCAGAAAATTCTTTTGGGACTCTTTCTGTTTGCCAGGGAGATTTTGTATATGCAGGATAACCTCTAAACATCTCTTAAAGATTGTCTTCCTGACCTTGACAAACAGAAGTTTTGTGGGACGTTTTTTCCTCTAGTGCTGCGATTTATGAGCAAGAAAATGAAATTCTTAAAGGAATTATAATGTCTTTTTACAAAGTGAAATTTCTTCTAGGATTTAGTAGGAAAGTTACTCTATTCAGTGACTCGGGGATTGTATTTAAAAGAAACCAGGAACAAACAATCTGTGTTTCTAAATCATATAGTCTTGAAAACTCATTTTGCTCATTGCTCTCAGCCATGTATCCTTATCAGCCCTGATCTGCTTGATCACTTAATCACCAGCTGATAGGTAAGCATTGGAGTAAATGGAACCATTCATTTACTTTGAGGTGAAGTAGGGAAAGCCTTTTAAATGTAGTCTTACTACCACTACTTAGAAAACTCTAATATCAGGCCCTGGTTCCCCAACAAGCCCTGCACAGGTAGAGCTCTGCGTCCCCTTCCTGCCATCCCCACCCCAGTCCCCCAAGGTCAGTAATACATTCTTAGGAGTGAAGAGTTCATCCCTATGAAACCCACTGCAGGTTTGCCCTGCTTCCATCTCCTGTCCTCCAGCCACTCACCAAATACCCTAGCTCTTATCATGATGCACCTTATTTAAGTTCCTGAGATATCTTCTCTCCAATGCATCCCATTTTACCTTGGCAAAGCTCGGAGCAAGTTCTTTGGCTCCACTTCTCAGTTGATTGCGGCAAGCCTTGTAGAAGCCCTTTGACGAGCCTGGAATGGAGCAGGACAGCACTTTGCCTGCCCAGGGAGGGTGTGCAGTGGAGGCACACTCACCCCACCGCTGCTGCACGAGGCTTGGGTTCCCAGCTGCATCTGTGACTTTGCTGGGTAGTGCCAGAAGAGATCTCCTCGTATCAGGCATCCTTCAGTTGAGATAAGACCAGGTCAGACCAGTTACTGCCTGACTCCACCTGTTTAATGCAAAGTTTCAAATAGGGTGTTATTGTCATCCATCAGTAATTACTTTTAGAGCTAAAAAGTACTGGGAAGTAAACACTGAACAAACACACAGTCTTTCAGGATCAGGAGCAAGGCTCCTGCCATCGGCTGGGCTGCTCGTCTCGGTGGGATGCTGAGCTGGGATTCATGACTTGGCATCACACTGGAAGGCTGTAGCAGAGCCCCAGTCCAGATTTTTAATAGCAAAACCATCCTTCCTGGAGCTTATTCATGCTTTAAATAATTTACAACCTTAGACAAATTTTTCAAATTTGTATTTGATAGCTTGGTCTACCATTACAACATCAAGACACAAGCAAGGTGGTGTGGGACCAGCTGACGTGTATGATCGCAGGGTTTGAGCTGTTACCTGAGAAAAGGCAGAAAGAAGAGAGAAGGATGAAAAATGGTAAAAAATATAAATTGCTCAGTCTGTTTTCTGTTATTTATTCATCTTGTAGTTCTCTTGTCTATAATTTTGCCAGGGGATGAATTACCTGACTTTTCTTTGAACAGACGACAGAAATATTTTTAAACCGGGGAGAACAGTTCCTTGGGCAGATTGTCACTACATCTGATCACCATGATTCTTCAAAATTAAATTGTATTAATTGCAGTAATTTTAGTTTTTAGTGTTTTGATAATGATGTCTTCTCACATAGTACTATATAGTTGTCACACTATTATGCTAACATTTCTGCTCAGGCTTCCCTCGAAATCTTTCTTCCTGTATGTAGACACAAATGAGAAACTTGCAACTCAACATTTCAGTGTTAAACCCTTTAAGTATAATTGGGTGACTTTTGGCACCTCCTAAGCCAAAGGGGGAGACTCCCTTTTGGTATAATCCTTTCCACTGACTGATGACTTATCTCATATCTGGCACACATAAATATGAACTAGGTTAAAGTGATTCCTAAGAATGCCAGGCACAAAAACATTTCCAGGCCTTTGTTTGTTTGTTTGTTTTTTCTTAGCTAGCCTTGAAAGGTTAATTATTTCAGATACAGATTGTAGAAGCAATTAGATCCTCCATCTCTGTGCTCCATAACACTAGCAAAAAATTCAGAAGGAAGAGTAGTATGTATGTATGTATGTATGAGTTTGTTTTTTTCATTTCTTCAGGACTAAGTTAGTCCAGTAAAGTGTTGAATTACATTAAAATTCGAGTGGTCTTCTGCTCACATAATTAAAGAATGTGGTGAGGGTTCAAATTGATCACTTAACCAGTTACCAATAGAATTCAGCAAACAAAAATCCTTACTAGGTGTTTGGAAGAAGTGGTTAAAAGAAACACTCAGAAGAAATCTGTGCTTCCAAGATGTCCTCAGTCCTCCTGGCCAAAACTGGATTCAGTGACAGTCGGAGGTGCTCAGAGCTGTGACACTGCAGTGTATGGTATGCTCGGGTCTGATGCTCGGGTGATGTAGTATCACATTCAAAAAGAGTGGATGCCTGTTTTTTTTAATATGTCTAAGCATTTATAGACAAACTCAGGCTGATTCACTAGAATTTAGAAATTAGTATGTAATCTACATTACCTGATTCTGATTTCTTTCTATTATATATAATACTGGACCAAAACATCACCTCATTCTATCTTCACGATTTCTTTCCACTTCAGAAGGAGAGTTTACTGCAGAAGCAGGTCACTCAAACTTTTAAATTAACCTAGTTGATTCAATAAATTATTCTCATCAGTTTGAATTCATAGATTTTACCTACAGAGAGTATTTTGATGCATGTGCTCTCTGGGGAGCTCAAGAAACTGGAATTACCCATTAGTTTTTGGGTAGTGTATGAATAACTTTAATTGTAAATGGTAACAGTAATGTAAAGGTCACCTTTCCTAGCACATCAGTTGTAAGGCCGTCCCTAAGGAATTAACACTTTTGAATAATAAACCTTAAACACCAGCAAGTATTTTTCTATTCTTTCCAGTCTGCTTGGCTGCTGAAATAGATATGAAGGGATTATTATTCTTTTCTGCTGTTCCTTCATTATGATCCAGTTTCTAATACTTTTATTGAAGCCAGTCCCAATGGGATCACTCATAGAATAAAATACTTCTTAGCTGAAGAGAGGGCACCAAATGTTAAGTTCCGCTTGCTTTGAATTTAAATACCATTTTAACTAAGAGCTGTTGCATGACTTATTTGTACCTCCCATGGAAGTACCCATTTTTCTCTTGTACTTTTTGAGGTGAGCCTGGAGATACAATGAGATTTGATCTGTAAAGCTCCTGACTGTGTTTTGTCCCAGTAATTAAAATATAGTGAAGAAGTTGTTTTAGAGTGTTGGTTCCTACCTGCTTTTCTTATAGCAATATGTATTTTGAAGGATGTGAGTGTGCAACTAGCCATCCTTTATTCACTGCTTACCTCTCTGTTTACCAGCCTTTTGGCTCAGTTAAAGATAACACTTACTGGCATTCCTGAAAAGATGGATGAGGAATGATTAAACTTCACAAGGAATAGTGCAGGAAATATTCCCCTGAGCTTCATCTGGCCTTCTGTTGTCTAAATCAAGAAATGCTGGCTCACCTGGTCTGTCCTGGATGTATCTGGCATATCTGAGTAGGTCTGAAATATCCTGCTACCACGCTGCAAAGTAATTTAACTCAGTGTCAGTTTAGAGCTCCCAGAAAACTGGAGATCTAGATCCTGTCAATGTAAGAGAGCAGAGGTAAGCATCCTCTTTCAGCCCTAGTGCTGTTTAACTTTCATTTGGCAAAACTCAGTAACATCAAATTTAGATTGGAAAAAATGGGATAAAAGTCATATTTGCACAGAGCTTCAGTTTGATAAAATATCCCTCTTGCTGGGAGAGTTTAGAAAAGAAAAGAATTCAAGCAGCGTTAGTGAGTTCAAACTTTCTAGCGTGAAAACATATATTTTTATTATTTTCAGATAATAATGGTGCAATTACTAATAATAGCAACATATCTTAAGGCCTATGAATACTATGTACGTTGATCTAAATTTCAAGATCTAAATCAGTTAACTACAGTGCAAAAAAAATGAAAGAAATACGTAACTTTTGAACTTTTTCCTAACCAATTGCCATTTCTTTCTTTCTCTCATTAGCCAGCTAGCATAAAATTATTTGATTTCTACTTTTGAAAAGTCAGAAATTATTTCAAATTATTAAATACCATGCGAAATGGATTTCACAGATTAATGGGAAAGCATGGAATAAAGATTCTAATCATAGCTGTTTTCCAAAGCCCTGTAGGAGTTTGTGGTAAATGAATTGTAATTGATCAGGATGAATTTTGTTATATGGTTTAAATGTTACATGAAGTGGTGGGACAGAAGCTTTATCCGAAGGCCTTTGATTTAATATTTCTGAATTTTTGATTGTGTTAATTAAAGCTGGTGGTTATTAGTGAAATAGGAAGCCACCCTTTATGAGATAATTTGGACAAATCCCTATCTGGTAGCATAATTACTGAAACACAATTTATTTTTTTTTATCTGCTGCTTCTGTCTGAATTTAAAGAAGACATTTTATATTAAACAAGTAATATCAGCTTGCAGGATGGCTGAATTATTTTTTTATGTTGATAAAATTATTTTATGTATTTATTTCTGAAAGAGAGGACTAGAGATAAGGACATAGATATTCACCAGATTTCCTCTGTATTTCAATCTTAATCAGGTTTTTAATATTCTTGTATCTCATTTTTCTCAAACCATTAAAAGACTGTAATTGCCAGAGCAGAATGCTCCGTCTTTAAAAATGGATTATAAAGTCAATAGGATGATATTAATTTATACAAGCTGTTGGCTGCTTTTAATTAGAAACACTTAATGAAATAATTAAGTGGTTTCATATCGGGACTTTGATGTGATAGGTGGCCAGGTTTATGTGGGTTTGTTTGTTATTTTACAAGCGCTGGTTCTGTCCCGTCGCGCTTCCTTCCACTTCCGTCGTGTACAGGAGGTTTACGTCAAGGTGCCCTTTGTGTTTGTGTCCTTATCTTTAGGTTCTTAACTACTTGTGGTGTGGCAGCACGTGCCAGAGTTCAGTAAAACCCCGTGGTTTTTTCCTGGTACCCTCTGGGCTCGCAGCCTGACGGTGGGTTTGGGTTTGTCCCTGACGTGTGTCTTGTCGGGGGAGGAGGTCTGAATGCGGAGCTGTGCACTAAAGGCACGGGGTGATCTGCAGAATTCCTCCTGAGAAGGAGCCCTGGAAGGGGCCGATGGAAGGAGAAGCTCTACCTGGCTGGTTCCCAAGGTCTGCTCGGTGCCTCTCTCCTGGTGCCAAGGGGTGACTTACACGGGGAATAACCTTTTATCCTATTTACTTGTGACACGAGACACTGTAAACAGGAAGGCTTCTTTATTTTGCTTTATTTTGCTTTGCTTACTAAAGAAAGAACCTTTGTAAACAGGAAGGCTTCTTTATTTTGCTTCTGAATACTGCTCTTTCTTTAGTAACTTTTGAGTATACTTTGAAAATGCCGACAGAACTTTAATAATTTGTGGGCCACTAGTGAATTTAAATCAGGTTTTAATGAAGCACTGCCTCTGCCCTTTGCCGGTTTTGGGTACCATTTGAGAGGGGCCAGCCAATACAGGGTAGACTATGAAGAAAAGTGAGTAATTTATGGCTTTTTTTTTCTGTAAATGATGTAACAAACAAGCTACAAGAAGGCATCCATTTATTTTGCTGGCCAGCAAAATCAGTATCCTGTTTCAAATGACTTCTGAAAAATTGAGCATCGCCATTTCAATTTTAAGCCTTTTGGCTGTGAAGTTGAGAAAACATACTTTTGTTTTTTGGCGCTCTTTCTTTAGTAACTTTTGAGTATACTTTGAAAATGCCGACAGAACTTTAATAATTTGTGGGCCACTAGTGAATTTAAATCAGGTTTTAATGAAGCACTGCCTCTGCCCTTTGCCGGTTTTGGGTACCATT